GAGTTCAGTGTAAATACAAGACAGATATACTACCGTTCCAAAGTTTGAGGTTTGTAAGATTTTTTTTTTTTTTAAATAACTTAAGGTTGCATTCAATCAATTAAAAGTGGAAACAGAGACACAATGTTACAAAATATTTCTATTTTAAATAAATACTGTTCTTTTGAACTTTCTATTCATCAAATGAATCATGGTTTCTTACACCTGGGGAGTTCAGTGTAAATACAAGACAGATATACTACCGTTCCAAAGTTTGAGGTTTGTAAGATTTTTATTTTTTTTAAATAACTTAACAAGGTTGCATTCAATCAATTAAATGTGGAAACAGAGACACAATGTTACAAAATATTTCTATTTTAAATAAATACTGTTCTTTTGAACTTTCTATTCATCAAATGTATCATGGTTTCTACAAAAATATGAAATATCACAACTGTTTTCAACATTAATAATGATTATAAATGTTTCTTGAGTAAACCAGCACATTAGAATGATTTCTGAAGGATCATGTGACTGAAGACTGGAGTAATGATACTGAAAATTTAGCTTTGCAATAAATTCAGCTTTGGAATAAATAACATTTTAAAATGTATAATATTCAATCATATTATTAATAATAATATTTCACAATATTACTGTTTTTACAGTATTTCTGATCATATGAATGCAACCTTTGTGAGCATTTAAGACTTCCAAAAACATTTTTAAAAATCTTACCAATCCCAACGTGGACTGTAGTGTGTATGCCTTTTTAAAATTACATACATAAACTCAAACTTACCTTCTCGGTGTTATTATGTCTTCCTATCACACTCAGAGTCAGAAGCAGATACATGACTTATGGAAGAGCAAAACAGATCCTTCCACCTCAATATGAATACACATTCTTCATAAATCCATTGAAACCGTATCTCTCAGTATTCACAGTGGCAGACACATACTTGAGCAGAAGAGAGGTAGTGTATAATGCAAGCGTGTGTGTACGTAGCTGTGTTGGTGTGGGGCTTCCTGCTCCAGCCTGTTTCCATGGCACTGAGCTTTCCATGAGCTTTAAAGACTTACAAAAGCCTATATTCTCAAACATGCTACTTTGAGCCCTATTCCCGCCAGCTCTAAATGCAGACCCTCTTGCCCTTCCACGGCTGCTGGACTTTCCCGACAGGTACGATTGCCAGAAACGGGAAGCTACATTCTGTCTGTTTTTCCTGTCTCACTCCAGACAGTCTCCTCAAGTGACCAGGGGGCCAAATGCAATGGACTTTTTCAGCAGCCTTGGGTCTAGAAGTGTTTTCCTCCCATTCATTTTCTACATATGTATTTTTTAGCTAAATTTATAGGCCATGAATCAAGCCATAAAATTGCAAACTTGATTTGAAACAAAAAGTGCTTGAAAACTGAACAGCCCATGAAGCATTGCAAAATTCACAATTGAATAAGACAATATAAAATGACTTAGTCATTGATTGACGCATAAAATACGTTATTTTGTAAGTGTATAAAATATAACATTTAAAGTGTACTGCAACAAATGCTACAATTCTACATTTTTTAAAATGTTTTTTACATTTATTGCAAAATATTCAAATATGTATTTCCAAACATTCAGTTTAATGTAAGTTGTTTGAGAGTATACAGACACTGACCTGTTTATGTCATTTGCATTGCTTCGTGCAAGTGGGAGGAAGCCGTTTTGGCGCAGTTCTTATTTCCATGGTAACAGCGAATTCTCTAATTAGTGGACACAAAAGGAATCACTCTTCAAGATTATGAGTAATATAGTTTTTTCCAATGGGAATATTAAACAACTTAAAAAGAAGAAATCAAGCTGTCACTTCTAAACACGCTTATTTAAAGTCTCTGAGCTCATGGAAGGTTTGACCCGAAAGGTTTTTGACAATATGATTAAAATGATTTCTCGATTGAAAAAAATGAATTGGATTTGTAATTCTGAAACCCTACTGTTGCACTTCACACCCAAGACTTCAAATGACATCACAGATCTGCATCTAAAATGTGAAAAAAAATGTGTTCATCATCTACACAACCATTCAAAACTTATCAAGATTTTCTTTTTTGAAGGAAATTAATAGTCTCATTCAGCAAGAACATTTAAAATTGATCAAAAGTGTCAGTAAAAGACAATTCTATTTCAAATAAATGCTGTTCTTTAAAACTTTGTATTCATCAAAGAATCATGAAAACAATGTTTCATGTTTTACACAAAAAAAACAAATGTTTCTTGAGCAGTAAATCAGCATATTAGAATGATTTCTGAAGGATTAGGTGACACTGAAGACTGGAGTAATGATGCTGAAAATTCAGCTTTACCATCACAAAAATTAAGTACATTTTAAAATATATTAAAGTAGAAAATTATTTTAGCAAATATTTAGTAATATTTCACTATAATACTGTATTTTTGATCAAATAAAATTCAGCCTCGATGAGCATAAAAGACTTTCTTCAAAACTATTTACCGACCCCAAATTTTGAATAATAGTGTACAAAACTGCAACACTTTCTATTCAGCAGTTTGGATGCTTAACATCTGACTGAGACATCCAGAACGCTACTTTCAGACACTTCACAGCAGCATGTGCACAAACATACTCATTGTTTGTTCCTGGTGGGATTTTACAGAGAACTAATGTCTAGTGTCCAGTTCAGAAGCCTTGCCAACCGGGTAGGGGAACGGGGGTCAGCGTCTACCAGGAAAGCGAATTATCACCAACATCTCTACTAGTGATCACTTCAGAACATGAGGATTAACTGTGGATTTAAACGGCAGGGAAATGAGCATCCATTCAACTTATAAAATCATTAAAAAATATACAGTGGGTACGGAAAGTATTCAGACCCCCTTAAAAAATGTCAACAATTCTGTGTTTTTCTGTCAATATGGGGTGCTGTGTGTACATTGAGGAAAAAAAATTAACTTAAATGATTTTAGCAAATGGCTGCAATATAACAGAGTGAAAAATTTAAGGGGGTCTGAATACTTTCCGTACCCACTGTATAATAATAATTGTACTTATAGCGTTTCTAAATCTAATATAATATAATAAAATAATTGAAAAATATTTGTAAATATTTTGGAGCACAAAAATGTAAAAGACAAGAAAATTGCATATCATTGCACATTACAAACCATGAAAAAAAAAATGAAAAGAGCAACAGGAACATTCTGCAAAATATCTCCTTTTGCAAATTAAGCCATGCTGGTTTGGAAAACCATAAAAGGTGAGTAAATGATGCCAGAATTTAATTTGACAACAACACTTGGGATACGACAATCCTGTATGTTTTCCAATCACAAACAGCTCATTCCTCCAGCGTTCCTCACCTCAGATTTCGAGTCCAGAAACTCTCATTAACTCCAGCATGACATTAACAAAAAATGAACTCTGTTTCTATTCAAGGACTCATGCATGATTCAAAAGTCTGAAAATAGAGAGACATTTAGTGATTCTGATTAGCTTCGGATTAGACAGTGCAGAACAGCGGTGACATATTGAAGGAGTAAAATGACTTTGGGAAGTTTCTGTGGGAAATCATCCAACAGGTTGGATGGATCCACCACAGGGAGGAAGGTTTACTTTCCCAGGGATGAAACAAGCCCTTTGTATTCCCACTCCTCTGGTGGGCCCTCTGTGGATTTTTCTGAGATAAGTGAGCAAAGACAAGCTCGTTTATCTCTCTTCGTATGCTGCTTTTGTTTTGGCACCTTCTAACCTGCTCTGAGAACCAACAATCTCATAGTTTGGATGTTAAACATTGGTTGTTGTGGACAACTAATAATGATGGTACCTGACGTAGATGTCATAACAGGAGTGAAATATGATACATAGACCTTATTTGTGCCTCAGCATCACTGCTGACACCAGAATAAAGGTGAACTCGGGCAATAGTCTCTCATGAGACCTGATATGGTCTACAGTCAGAGCTTTGGTGTGAAGAAGATGAAAGACATCAACATCCAACACCCTCCATCTGGTAGTTCCCGTCTTTTGCAAAACATTTCCATTTTGCCCTGCTGTTAGTCCTTTCTCCCTCTGACGTTACGGAGGAGTGGTCTGCACCACTTCCCTCAACATTCAGCCCAAAACCTTTGAAGCTTAAGAGAAATGCTCCGCTCTCATGAGATTCTGGCAGCACCATAAACAACTGGAAACCCATAAGCCACTGAGAATGTGTTAAACTGCTAATTCAAAACACTTATAAATTAAAATATCAATATGAACATTATTTTTTATAGCTGTTGGGCAAAAATTTCACATCATAAAATCACACTAGCATACATTCAAACAAGAGCTAGCTATAACTATAGTAAACTGTATAGTCAAGGTAGAACTGAGAAGTTGAACTGTGTTCTCAGGACAAGCATTTTTCATAAATGCCAGGTCGAGGCAGTTGGGACAAGATGTCACATGGGTTTAGAATTCAGAAATGTATTTTCTTTCATTTGTTTTTTAATGTGGCTTTTTTGTTTTCCTCAAATGTATTGCTTTGTATATAATATTAAAAAACTTGAAATATATTAACAAATTAGAAATGTATTAATGTGTACATTTGAATATTTGTATTTAATGGTCATGCTTTAGAAATGTTTCACTGCTTAAATTTTGCTGAAATATTTATAATAGGCATATTCCGTTGTGACAACATGCCCCACTTTAGAGTAAAAACTGTGACAACTTACCCCATCTCCGCTAAATATACTGTAAACAGATAATATACCCGGAGTATTTATAACTTAAAGTGTAATTAATAATTGTTAGAACAGACTTACATAATGAAGCTTTTACCAAAAACATTTGTACATCAGTATGTATGAGTTTATAAATCAAAACCATTAAATTGATAAAAGTGGCATACTCCGCGTTGCTTCGTTTACTTCTTGATGATATGTTGCAATAAAAACATAACATATAAAAGCAAATGACAAACTGTAAACGTACTACATGCACGTGATGGTAAACATGCTACTTATCCAGACTCACCTTCTCGTCGACAAGGTGATCAGCGCAGGTCCTCGAGTTCTTTTTCTCCAGGTTTCTCCTCTTAAACTTGTGCTGTAGTTTCTTTCTCTTTCTCTAGATGTTAAACAGACATTCAGCACTCTCGACTTATCAAGGTATATGATATTATTGGAATTAAACTACATTAATGTTCCGTCAATGCGCGGCGTTTCAAATTCAGTCTGTCTGGCACGATCACCAGCGAGATGGTTTACATGATTTATTTCAACATAACGTGTTTTCACGTCGTGTTTGGAGGATTGTGATTCACCGAAGACATTCAGTAAGTAAATCCATCCGTTCCGAAAGCCCGTGGGAGGAGCTGCGCGTCTCTCCTCCTCTTCCTCCTCTTCCTCCACCTCTTAATCAAGCGTCACCAGCGCGCTGCCAGTAATTAATTAACAACCCACAGCATTCGTGATTAGTGTAACCTGTATTTAAGTTTATATAAATTCAGTTTAAAACTTAGTTTAAGTAAAAGTAAAAAAAAAAAAAATTCTGAACCAAGAAACAACTTGAGGTGTTTGATTCACCTCAGTGATTCGAATCTTTTGAATTTGTTCACTAAAACGGTTCATTAACTGATTCGTTTAGTGGCCCTAACTTTCTGCAGGTTATATGTCATCATTTCTCCATCAGGTGCATGGTGACAAGTGAGTGTTGTCGAGTCATTGATTCATTCAACCAACCGATTCGTACGACAACTGAAACCAAGTATCATTCTTTAATATTTAAAAACCGAGTTTCTACAAATCTACTAAGATAGGCCAAGTCAAAAAGTTTAAAGGGATAGTTCAATCAAAAATGCCATCCTATGTAAATATGACTTTCTTCTTTCAGAATACAGTCGGAGTTATATTAAAAAACGTTCTGGCTGTTCCAAGCTTTATAATGGCAGTGAATGGGGGTTGAGATTTTGAAGCCCAAAAAAGTGCATCCATCCATCATAAAAAGTAGGGGAGCGCGGGGCACAAAGTAACGCGAGGTAAATAGTAACACATGTGGTTTAAATATTTCCTCACATGCTAGCATAACCAAATTTACAGTATTTACTAGTTACTATTATTTTAATCTCCAGTCTGATATTTATCTGTTTAAATAATTTTTTAATGCTTCGCTAACTGTCAGAAGACAGTAACCAGTTTTAAATTCCAGTTGCGCTGATGGGGTATGTTGTAACACTGCGTTACAATGTGCCCTGCCGTGCTATTCTATGACATTAGCGATGTAATTCACACTATTTACTTTAATACATTTTAATGATAAACAACGAGAAACAGGTGAATAAAGACTGACAGTCAATGTTTCATGTTAAGAAATTATTATTTCAAGACATGTAAAGCATTTTGGCTCGTTTATGTGGGCCGTCCCAAGCATGGTTGCAATGTGTTCATTGTCAAACTCCAAAATCAGATTATTTTTCATTCTTAAAAAAACGCCATTATTTGATTTGAAATAAATAATTATTTTATTTTATTGACAAAATATTTTAGTTTGTCTTGTATATTTTTTTCATTCGATCAGATAACATTTTAAGCTGTTATATGGTCATGTTACAACGTGCCCCTCAGATGTTACAAAATACCCCACCTACGGGGCATGTTGTCACATTTCACTTCCAATTTTTGAGAGTAAAACGTATACTCTGTAATCATGAAACAAAGCGACATATTTGTACTAGACAAGTGTGAAATTACCGTGGATAAAAAACTTATACTCTGAACCCCATGTGGATTTACACAAACTGAGAAAGTCAAAAAGTGTTACTTTGTGCCCCGCTCTCCCCTACTCCACATGGCTCTGGGTGGTTAATAAAGGCCTTCTGAAGTGAATCGATGCATTTGTGTAAGAAAAATATCCATATTTAAAACTTTATAAACTGTAATCTCTAGCTTCCGCTAACTGTCATACAGACGTTCACAAGAACGTGTGTTCAAATAAAACAAAACAAAAACAAAACTTGGTTCTCACGAGACTAGCATATTCTCACCGGAGCTTACGCTATCCCTACGTCCTACATCATCCACTGCAACGCCATTCTCTATTCTAGTGAATGCGTGTACGACAGTTAGCGGAAAAACTAGAGATTACGGTTTATAAAGTTTTAAATATAGATTTTTTTTTCTTACACAAACGCATATATTCGCTTCAGAAGGCCTTTAAGACCACCAGAGCCATGAGGAGTACTTTTTATGATGGATGGATGCACTTTTTTGGGCTTCAAAATTTTGACCCCCATTCACTGCCATTATAAAGCAATTTTTTAAATATAACTCCAATTGTATTCGTTTGAAAGAAGAAAATCATATACACCTTGGATGGCTTGATGGTGAGTAAATCATGGGGTAATTTTCATTTTTGGGTGAACTATCCCTTTAAGCATCATACACTTGGTAAACATATTAGATCTGTATTTCCCTTCATGTTGTTGAACGAGATGCCTCATTAATTTATTTCATTTGTTTGGGCATGGTCGGTCAGCAGGTCCAACCAATGCTCCTTCACATCCCGCCCTCTAATGCTATTTGCTCATGCGCTACAGTCAGCCTTTGAAGTTACCGAAAAAATGAGTCGATTCCAGGATGATTTGTTCACTTTATGATTCTAAAGATCATTCACGAATGAATCACCAGACCATTAGTTTTAAGGAGGGTTACTTTTATTTTACAAATGATCAGGGTTACTTTTCAATATTGGTTGGAATGATAATAATTGGCAATGCAAAATGTAAAAAAAACCCAGTTATAATGGTTGCTGTGTCTTTTGTGAAGTTTTGTGTAGCAGTGTTTGGCGAGGCCACCTCTGTCAGGCACAGCGGCTACTTATCCAGACCACAGGCAGAGAGCAAGAGCAGAGCATCTACTGCTTCTATTCCAGGATGCCAGTGAGAGATTAACCTCTGGCCTGAGCCAAGCTTGCATCACATCCTAATCTTTAACAACCTACTGGTGGACTGAAGCAGTCCTTCAACAAGCATGACTTTGAGGTAGACACACTAGCTGGGCACAGCTGTATGAATCACGTGTGTATTCATTGTGGTGTTTTCTGATATGCTGAGATGTCAGAAAGATTGCTCTGCTCATATCAGCTCCAGTCTGCTAGAATATAAGCAAATCCACTTTAAATGGACAAAAACATTAATTCATGAACATTGATTGCTGTCTAAGAAAAAAACTATGTTATATATAATAATTGTATTATTGGAATGACACTGTTGCATTTTTTTTATCAAGAAGAAATAATCGTAGTAATTGTATATATTATAATATATTACAATAATTTGTTAATTACAACTCTTTCATTATGAAATATCTCTTTAGGGGACCATAACTGGAATGAGCAAAAATAAGTTCCAAACCTCCATAGCAGATTATGAGGAGGTTTAGATGTATGAACCTAGCAGCACCTAGTGGACACAAATGTTGTGGTTGCAGGAAAATGCAACTACATCACACACACACACACACACACTGGTATTGGTGGTTTACAGGGACTCTCTATAGGCGTGATGGATTTTATACTGTACAAACTGTATTTTCTATCGCCCTACACCTAAACCTACCCCTCACAGAAAACTTTGTGCATTTTTAGAATAAAAAAAAGAAGAAGCACCATTTAGTATGTTTTTTTAAGCCTTTTGAATTACAGGGACACAGGAAGTGTCCTCATAAACCACCTTCATATTGTAATACCTGTGTCATACCCATGTCATTATACAAATTTGTGTCCTCATAAACCACCCAAACCATTGCACACACACACACACACTCAACTGAGCTGCCAATTTCATACTTGTCACTACTTGTGACTACCACATTTCTATTATTATTATTTTATCTCACATGTAATATTAAAAGATTGTGGTGTGATCACAAAATAAGATGTTTTTTGATGGGGTCTTTAGAACAGAGATTAATGTAATATAGAAAATATTGTTTCTTTTAGCTTAAACTGCTTATTTGCAAGATGCTATAGTGTTTACCATAGTCACGAAAATTACACCTTCCAATGACTGCTTACAATCATTTAAAATAGTTGGAATATACTGTACAACTGCTGACAACATTAAGGTTGTAGAAGAAGTTACAAGACACTGTTTAAGTTTACAGTTAAGACACACACCAGACACCACCACCACAGCATAGTGATAATATCTGCTCTGCCTACAAAGCACAAAGAGCAGACAGCATTTACAACATGCTGAGAGTGAAATTCCTTTGCCTTCTTTGTCACGGAAGAGCTCACAATAGCTGGGCAGGTTTCCACCGATCTGAACCTCTGATACATTAGTAAGGTAGTACACTAGACATTCATTCAGAACATGAAATGTCCCACCCAACAGACATATTACAGAAACACAAATGCAATGTCAGATCAGGTTTTAGTCAAAATAAAGGCTGGTTTTGATTAAAATATGGAACTTTGGCAGGCTGGCCCCTAGTAATGGGTTGTTTATGGAAATGTGGATGTAAACAGGACTACAGGAAGCGCATCCTGTAATTTCCCCAGTGCTCATTGTGTGTATGCATATGAATTTTACATTATTGTTTTATACAGACATATACTACAGTTCAGATGTTTGAAGTCAGTAAGTTTTTTTTTTTAAAGAAATTAATACTTTTATACAGCAAGGATTCATTAAACTGATCAGTGATCTTTTATAATGTTGTAAAACACTTTTAATTATAGCTGCAAACAGCATTGATGGGCCCAAGCCCCAAGAAATAACTTTCTCGCTTTCCCTTTTGTTCACGGCAGTTAATCAGTTACTGTCAGTCTGGGTTACAGTGTGCCTGTAGTTTTCTCTATTTCTGTTTTATCACGTGATAGAAAGTCTAAGGCCAAACCTCAAGCTATGTGGATCTAACAACATGATGGAACACGTTAAGCAGCAAATCAGAAAAGAAACCCTGACAACTGAAGCGAGCAGCATTCTGATGCATGAGGAATGCCAGCGCCATCAGCTGTGTTTTCACTGATCTTTACAAAGTGGCCTGGAGGTGTATACTTTGAAATCTGTGCTGTTAATGGTTTGTATCTTTGAACAGTGTCATGTTAGATGTGAATGAGAAACAGCCCGTTCAGCCCCCACACAAAGCTAATGAGACATGTTTCAAGACACAAATTTCAGATCACGTCTTAATGTTAGAAACTCACATATTTTATACAATTCTTCCAAACCAAATTACCTGAGATCTGCTATTCACATTATAACTCCATACTGTTACTGCATGTCAACAGTTGTCCAATTTGTAATTTGATAATTAATAAATAAATTTTGTAATACCTCACTAAATTTGGTAAGATTTAAGCTTAAAACTAACAAATGAAGATAGTGCTGTAAGAAAAAATATACTTTTATTTATAGACTTGTAGATAGCTGAAGCAATGGTTTGAAGTTAAAAACATCTTGATGGATTTGTTTCTTACAAACATGCAGCTTTTCACTTCTCAAGATGTTAATTGTTGGACTGGAGTTGTGTGGACTACTTGTGGATTATTGTGATGTTTTTATCAACTGTTTGGACTCGCATTCTGACGGCACCCATTCACTGCAGAGGATCCATTGGAGAGCAAGTGATGTAATGCTGAATTTCTTTAAACATTAAGAAATGTTTTTGCAGTGCTGAGAGAAGGACACTTACATGAAACATTACTGAGATCCCTCCAAGTCTCATTTAGCTTTCAAAGAGCCAATTCTAAGCAATAGAAAGTTCCTCTGGGATTCTTTATGCATTCCAGAGCTTCGTGTTTGTACAACAGGATTCCTAGTTCTATATAAAGAAGAGGAAGATACAAAGCATATTAGTTTAGTGCATAAAGAATGTCTTGTTTTTTTTTGTTTTTTTTGACATATAGAAACCATTATGCATGCTTTGCACCCAACTAGACAGATTGTTTCTGCTGTCCTCTTGCAGGCCCAGACACGACCCACTAAAACGTGGCACACAGAAGAGAGAGGGAGGAGAGACGGATGGATGGGATGGGGGTGGAAGTAGAACAACCACTTAACCTCTTCTTTTTACTGTTACTTTCAAAATATACTTTTGCATTTTCTGAACAAATTTTGAAAATAATAAATAAAATGTCATTTAAAATATCAAGTATTAACACCAGGTTTTAGACTAAATTAGTTTACTTCTTACTAGGATGTTTTTAAATTTGATTTGATGTTAATCAGTAAATCTGGTGTCCACATTTCTGAATTACATCCACCTTTTTTCATACTCACCAATTTCCTTGCATGAAAAAGCACTTTAGTTTAGCCATTGTGTGAGTGAGTGAGCAGGAAATGGGTCAGTTCCTGCTGCCTTTAGGACCTTGAGGAGAGAGTCCAGTTTCCACAGTAATTGGATCTGGGGGAGGTCTCACAGAAAAACGGGAACATTATAATACTCCTTTCCCAACTTCCAGAAGTTTCTTTTCCAGACTACGAAGTCTGCATGAAGGATTTGGTGTCCGGGGAAGCTGACAGATCCAAGAGGCTGCAGAAGTTTTCAGGAGCTCTGAGAGGTGAGTAATGGATGCCATTACAGCTGTGAAAACTAATTTTGCATTCAGTCTTCATCAGCAGCATGAAAAATTTAGAAAATGTGTGGTATTTCATAACACAATCCTTCATTTAAAAATTTGGAATGTAAAATAAATGCTTGTATTAGACTTTTTAACTTTTATTGCTTTACTCAAAGGTGAAAAGATGCTCATAAGCAGCTAAGTGCTTTGATTAACTGTGTTTGTGTGATGATTCGAAAGGTTTTTTTGCACACGTCACAGTTCCAAATGTTCTCAATTTTTTCTTCAGGCTCTGACATGTAAGCATAATAAAAGGTAATTCATTGAGAGGGTGTATCTGCACGGCCGAAGGCAACATTTTGGGCTGTTCACTGGTAGAGGGGTGGGGCAAAGCTGCACAAACTGAAGTCTGATGTTCCCACAATAGTGTCAGAACTTCCTGCCATCCTGGCAGTGCTGATTGGATAACAGTTATCTAGCGTAAGATGACTCCGGGAGCCGTGAAATCTGTATGTGGCTGCACAGCTTTTTTCCCCCATGAAAAGTTGTGTGCATCTTGGGTAATGTGATATTATATGCTACTGTTTAAAAGTTTGGTGGTCAGCAAGATTTTTTTTTTTTGAAAGAGAAGATGACAAGAAAAGTGACAGTAAAGACATTTATAATGTTACAAAAGATTTCTATATCAAATAAACACTCTTCTATTCAACACTCTATTCATCATAGAATCCTGAAACAAGTATTGAAAATAATAAATGTTTCTTGAGTATCAAATCAGCATGTTAGAAAGATTTCTGAAGGATCATGTAACACTGAAGACTGGAGTAATGATGCTGAAAATTCAGCGTTGCCATCAGAATAATAAAATTTATTTTAAAAGTAATTAAAATAGAAAAGAGTTGTAATATTATTTCACAATAATCCTGTTTTTATTGTATTTTTGATCAAATAAATGCAGCCTTGGTGAGCATAAGAGACTTTCAAAACATAAAAAAACTTACAGATCCCAAACATTTGAATGGCAGTGTAAACATCTGAAACATTCTTAAATATATATTTTTTATATTCAGCAAGGAATAAGCAAAAACATGCTATGGTAAAGGATCTCTGATCTTCTGAGAGCTTAGTAAAGTTACAACTGTGCACATGGCAGTTATGTAACATTACTGCCTTAAATGTCTGCTGGACTTCCTTTAGCATAGCAGGCCTGTCACTTAAGTCTATGGGAATTTAAAATGACAGCTCTAATATATCTTGGCACTACTGTCAGTTCTGTGGTCAGGAACTGAAATACAGTCTACAGCTCACAAATAAAGAAAACCATCTCATATTTATGCAAAATAACGTTGCACCACATTGACTAATCTTTTCTACCTTTATAGGCTGTAAACTTACCACCTCCAAAATCATGTTGGTGTCAAACGTGGTTCTCCTGTGCCTACTGGCCACTGTGAGTGCGGACAAAACCCTCAGCAGCCATGCCTCCATCCTGGCTGACAACAGTGCCAATTTGGCCTTCAACCTGTACCAAAACCTGGCAAAAGAGAAGGACATCGAGAACATCCTGATTTCTCCCGTGGTTGTGGCCTCCTCGCTGGGTTTGGTGGCTCTTGGAGGGAAATCCAACACTGCTTCTCAGGTCAAAACCGTCCTGAGCGCCACTACGGTGAAGGATGAGCAGCTACACTCTGGGCTGTCTGAGCTTCTCACCGAGGTCAGTAACTCAACAGCACGCAATGTCACCTGGAAGATCAGCAACCGTTTGTATGGGCCCAGCTCTGTGAGCTTCGTCGACGACTTTCTGAAGAGCAGCAGGAAGCATTATAATTACGAGCACTCCAAAATAAATTTCCGTGACAAGCGCAGTGCGGTGAAAGCAATCAATGAATGGGCATCGAAGTCCACCGACGGCAAGCTGCCCGAGGTGACCAAAGATGTGGAGAAGACAGATGGAGCCATGATCATCAATGCCATGTTTTATAAACGTAAGTCTTGATTATCTTTAGAATGAGAAGCAATAAGATTCATTAACTAATATGGTGCTCTGTTTCCTCTCCAGCACACTGGGATGAGCAGTTTCATCATAAGATGGTGGATAATCGTGTTTTCTTAGTGCATCGCTCCTATACCATCTCTGTACCCATGATGCATCGCACAGGTGAGGCCGAGGTTAAGCAGATATGATCCTGAAACACAGAATGAGGTGTAACTTAGTGGTTAAAAGTAAATTGTGGGTAATATTTCATTTAATTTTTTATTACAAATACATTTTTGGGGCAATACTAGTGTTTAGGTGTATATAATTTTTGTTTTCAAGTTTATATATTTATCATATTGTTTAATTTTTCATAGTTATGTTGTTTAATATTTATCACATTTTTAATTTGAGTCAATTTGATTAATTAATTTAATTTAATTAAACAAAAATATTTTCGTTCACAAAATTATGCAAAGGTGCAAAATTAAACTACTGAAATATTTAATTATAATTTTGTAAATATTTTATATTTTTAAATATATAAAAATATAGATTCGTTTTTGTTTTAATGAAATATCCTTTAAATGTAGTCATGTTATATTCTTTAATTTTAAGGAATATATTTGTTTATCATAAAAATATGTTTAATTAACTTTTAGTTTTACTCAGACTAAAATTGCATGTAATTTTAGTCAGCAAAAAATGACAGTATTATAAAAGTTACATATTTTAAAAATGTATAAATATTTATAGATATATTTTTAGAACATATAAAATATGTATACACTTAATATATGAAATATGTAGTTATATTTAGTAAAAAATTAAATATTTGTTTTTGTCAGTGAATTTAAAATTAATACTGGCCAGTAAAAATTTTTTTCAAAACTCACCTACTATCGTTTATATCGAACTTCTGTTTGATTTGGAAAGAAATTTCAGCCTTCCTTCATTTGCCCTTACATGCTTACGTCATATATTCATGCTGTCTTTCAGGCATTTATGGCTTCTTTGACGACACAACCAACAACCTTTTACTTCTGGACATGCCACTGGCCCATAAGATGTCGTCTGTGGTGTTTATCATGCCGTACCACGTAGAATCCCTGGAGAGAGTGGAGAAACTATTGACACGCCAACAACTGAACACCTGGATCAGTAAAATGGAACAGAGGGCGGTTGCGGTGTCACTGCCAAAGGTCAGCGTGGAGGTCAGCCACAACCTGCAGGTACGGACAGTCTGCAGTTTCAGCAAGCTATTATATTATTATAAACTTGCCTGTGATTTCAATTGCTAATATAATGCCACATTTTCTTGCAGAAACATCTCGCTGAACTGGGTCTGACTGAAGCTGTGGACAAGGCCAAAGCTGATCTGTCCAACATCTCAGGGAAGAAAGACCTCTATCTGTCCAACGTGTTTCATGCCTCCGCCATGGAGTGGGACACTGAGGGAAATCCACCCGATATTAGCGTCTATGGTACCGACAAGCTTAAGAACCCCAAACTCTTCTACGCTGACCATCCCTTCATCTTCCTGGTGAAGGACAAGAAGACAAACTCCATCCTTTTCATGGGCAGGCTTGTCCGACCGAAGGGTGATAAAATGAGGGATGAATTGTAATTTTTTTCATTTAAATGTGATTGTATGTGGTTAATGAGTGTGTATGTGTGTGTGTGTGTGTGTGTGTGTGTGTGCAGATTTATGGATGTGTGTAAATGGTACACCTGAGTTCGTTCCATTAGATCTGGGGACAACCATGTGCTATCCGTTACGTATACTTTGACAATTAACATTTAGGTGCCTCATAATGTTTTTTGTTATAAAAAAATGCAAGTGTACTTGACAAAGTATCGTAAATTCACATCTGAATCGGTAAGAAGACAAACTCCATCCTTTTCATGGGCAGGCTTGTCCGACCGAAGGGTGATAAAATGAGGGATGAATTGTAATTTTTTCATTTAAATGTGATTGTATGTGGTTAATGAGTGTGTATGTGTGTGTGTGTGTGTGTGTGTGTGTGTGCAGATTTATGGATGTGTGTAAATGGTACACCTGAGTTCGTTCCATTAGATCTGGGGACAACCATGTGCTATCCATTACGTATACTTTGACAATTAACATTTAGGTGCCTCATAATGTTTTTTGTTATAAAAAAATGCAAGTGTACTTGACAAAGTATCGTAAATTCACATCTGAATCGGTTTCTGAGAAGTGCAGCGTGCTTATATTAAGTATGATCTCCATGAAATTTGCTATAAATCCACACGAACAGCATTTTTGCTCAAGGGTTTATCTTTTTTCTTTGCGTTTCGATTGCTGGAGCGCTTAACTCTCTATGCCGAGAGTTTGGTTTCTGAAAAAGTCTGGATTTTGTTACACAAAGTGCCTGCGAGTTCACCACGCCATGCTGAAACGTTCCTCTCAGAAGTGCACACTTGTGTCTGCACTAAATACTGTGTCTGCACTAGACAGCATGTGATATGAGCTCACGTCTGTGCCATTTTTAAGCTTGTATTCACATTGTCATTGCACCAAAACACGGTTGTCTAAAAATGTTGGTTTGTTCCTGGTTCTTTCAATAAAATCAGCATCACTGAGAATGTGTGCGGGTTTTATTTATGCCGTGTTTCTTTTAAGGTCAAAGTAAAGTTTGTGGTTCTGTTTGGAACTGCATACTCTACCATACTACAGTACACTTATTATTTCTGATGTATAAAGTATGTATAATGTACACAGAATGCAGATTTTACTACTTTTACCAATGGCATTAGCCAAAGTGTTCAACAGACCTTAGTTAGGTTAGAAGCCACTGCATTTAATGTGGATGTAAAGGATCAGATTTTACAATGGCACACATTGTATAAAGTATTTTTTTTTTTTACAGCTCACAACTTTGAAACTGTTTTTGGAGTTTTGTCTACTGATTTTTTTCTATTTTCAGAAAGAGGTTTCGTCAGCTGAGCAATCTATATGTTGTTAAAAACAACAGTACAATCCATTGAATGCACTGTACTTCAGTCTCTCACAGCCTCATTTTCATTCCTGTCAAAACTTAAATTTGCCTCTACCCTGACTGGTCTATTCCAGATTTTTTTTTCAAGATCTTCCAAAAGAAAATCTTTATTTTTTATATGAATAATACCACGTTGAGTTTTTGGCATACAAAACTCTAGACTTGTGGGCTGCACAAAGCTCTGGCCGTACACAGAAAACATAAAGTTATTTATCGTTCCTTCATCAAGTCTTTGGCGATACTTTCTATTCAAAAGAAACAGGTTTGTCTGTACTCTCACACGTGAACTCTGTCATCTGATTAGATGAGAATGTGTACAACTGCACATCAGTATTTCACGTTCAACCCAAAAAAATTAAAATAAAAAAGCTGCACAGTGGGTAAAAGCTGAAATAAAAAAAAATACAGTAATTGTCTAATATTCAAGGAAAGCAGCTAAATAATCCTATTATGATACAAATTTTCATGGAAAACAGTTAAAATTTCCCATATATTTCTACTAAATTATTTGAACAAAAAATAATGCAAAATAAAATTTAATGGCCAATATGTATTTTCTCTCACAAGTAATGCACATGACTCCAAAGTCTATCAATGAATTTCTTAAAGCTGTGTGTTTGTAAGAAACAAATGCATCATTAAGGCGTTATAACTTCAAACCGTCGCTCTTGGCAATAATACAAGTCCACAATTCAGTGAAAAAGCCCTATTGTCCTCTCACATCAAAATCTAGCAAGATATTTGCTTAGAACTATTTTCTCTTGTAACGGTGCTTAATCTGTGCACATTTCTCCTGATTAAAACGAGATTACTTTTTCATTGGAGAAAGCATTATGGATAGAGGACTCATACTTTACCCGGAAGCAACAGTTTGAAGTTAAAAACATCTTAATGATGAATGTGTTTATTACAACCACGCAGCTTTTGACCTCACAAGACGTTAATAGATGGACTGGAGTGGTGTGGATTATTGTGAGGTTTTTATCAGCTGTTTGGACTCTCATTCTGACGGCACCCATTTACTGCTGAGGATCCATTGGTGACCAAGTGATGTAATGCTACATTTCTCCAAATGTGCTTCGATGAAGAAACAGTCTCATCTACATCTTGGATTGGTGAGTTCATTTTCATGTAATCTTTGGGTGAACTATTCCCTTAATATTTAAATTCATTAAAATGAAAACATTGTTTCTTTGCTTTCTTCAGGGAATACTGTCAGTAACCTGATAATGATCCTACCTCCCATTTATGGAGCCATTCAGACGTATAAAGATGGTTTGGAAGTACGCTATGTGTGGTCCTTTTTAGGAATTGCTGGTACGTAGCTTTCACATGATTTTATATAATCACAAACTTCATTTTTTTATGGAGTGACCTGTCCCCCAGTTATTCAAGACTGTATTTCCTAACCAAATGGAGATTAAATGTACTGTTTTTTATATTGTCTCTCTTTTTGGTCCAGCCGTAGGCATTGGTTCATGGAGCTTCCACATGACACTACAGTATGAAATGCAGGTAAGCTTGACTTTTCTTCAGCCTTTCAAAGTGTGCATCTTGTTCCCAAGCACATGAAAAGCTTATTTTCACTTTCATTCTCATAGCCACAAAGCTGCTTCTCTAACAGTACATCCCCAAAGCAATAGCAGTAATTCACAAGTGACACAAATGCTGTCAGTCTCTGGATTGTCTTTTGCTTTTAGTTACTGGATGAGCTGCCAATGATCTACAGCTGCTGCGTGTTTGTCTACAGCCTGTAAGTTGACATTTCTTACACCTGCAAAGTCATACTGTCTGCCTTCAACTTTGACCTCTGAGCACTCATAAGCTTAATGAGGATCAGACGCTGGATTTGATGACAGAAAATAATAAATTTTTTGTCATTAAGATTTCTTTTAATGTCTTTTGCCATTCAAATGTTTGGGGTCTCTGGGGTCTTTTATGCTTACCAAGGCTGTATTTATTTGATTATAAATACAGTAACATTTTGAAATATGTTTAGTTACAATTATTAGTTTATTTGATACAGATGTTTTGTTCGTAACTTATAAATGTCTTTACTGTCACTATTGATCAATTTAATGCATCCTTGCTGAATAAAATATTATTTCTTTCTTTAAAAAAAAAAAATGACTGACCCCAAGCTTTTGAATGGTAACGCATGATTGTAAGTCATTTACTCTGGATACTTTTTCCTCTGACCTTTTTTTTATTTTTTGTGACTGATTTGAATGCATATCTCACATATTACAGATATGAATGCTTCAAGCAAGAGCGTGCTGTTAACTATTTGTCAATTACACTTTTGCTGACCTTCAGTATTACTGTTAGCGTGGTAAGTTTTTTCTTTGCTGTTCTAAATTTTCAAAAAAATACAGTGGGACACAAATTTCTACTATATTTAATTTTTCAAATTTAGTACAAACCTTTCATTTCAAATAAAATTATCAACATAATTTGAATTGAAATAAACGAAACGATTTAAAAATAAAATATTAATATTTCTTAATATGGCGTCCATATGATGAATATTATCCAGCATGATTTAGGAATGCTATTTATTCTTTATTCGGATCCCCATTATATTCCATAAAGTGGCAACGACACTTTGCATAGAAATGTTCCAAATAAAAATAACAATGGGAAAATAGTGACCTAGAAATACTGCAGAATCTTAATAAATATTTCCTCTTTTTCATATGAAACTTTCATTGTTTTTCATTTTTTAAAAACCCTAAACATTGCTTATTTACTTGTTTTAAATGAATAAAATCCCAGATTTCCAATGCAGTCTGTTTATATACTGTATATATTATTGATTTTTTTTTTCTCCATGCTCAGGAAGTGCATTTCATTTGTCTTTTGTAGGTTTACCTGATATGGAAGGAGCCTGTGTTTCAGTTTGCCAAATGCATTACTGAGAAAGCTGCCAAATGAAGGAAAGTTTTCGTCATTATTATAGGTTAGATGAGCGGTTTGTGGTTTTGTGATTTTGCACACTATAAGATGTATAAAAATTGTCTTATAAATCTGAGAGTCTAATTAGCGAGAAAGAAGCGGCCAAAACTAGGAATTGATTCTGGCTGGTATTTCTTTGTTGCCTTCATGAGGGAAACTAATATAGGTTTGATGGATCATATCTAGTCAGATTGGCATCTCATATTTTGTACTTGAACTTAATGTACCTAACCTGAGATGCTACATTTTTACTTATCTCTACATTTTTAGAGATTATGAAGGTCAAATTAAACGGATCAGAAAAATGAATGAGTGTTAATAAGTTGGGAGTAAAGTATGATCTTTTTCATCCTGAAGATGGGGATGAGATATTACTGTAATACATTTGACTGTAATAATGGTCATTGTACTCGGTGTGTTTCAGAGATACATTAGCATGTTACATAATCGTTTCCATGTTACACATATTGCATCATGATATTATTAATTAAAGTAGAACAGATTAACAAAAGTCATGAATTGCTCTGCAAAATTCAGTGAGTCAGTAAATCAACGACTCACTCATTAAGCCACTCATTTATGAGTCAGCGTTCTTGAACGAATGATTCAGTGACTCACTTTTTAACGAATCACTTGGTGGAGTGACTCAAAACAATTGATTCAAGGACACAACGGAACTGTTGTATAAAAATAAATAGTTAAGCATGAGTTTTGCCCTTCAAACATTTCAAGCCCCTCTTGTCAACAATATGTAATTTAATTTATTTAATTTTAGGTAAACTAATTATGAATAGTGTTAATATGAGTGCTAATTACATTGAACTGAGATAAGATATTAAAATGCTGTTACTCAGTCGAGAGTAAATTAATTCAAATCAAATAAAACCTTACTATCATTAGTAAATGAATGTTTCATAAGCTAGATAGGCCTATTCATTATGTTCTCCTCTCTAATATTGACTACATGAACTGCCACAAGCCGCGCTTGCGGTCAGAAAAACAACAGTGAAGTGTGGTTATGTATGAAGATGTGTTGGCTATTAATATCGATTCATCATTTGTTTTATGTATTGTGCCAAGAACACAATCATCTCTATGTGAAGCACAGTTGATAAAAAGAAAATCTTACAACAATAAAAACATCCTTTTAATTCCACAGATTCATTATTTTACGAACCTATCCGGATTGTAAACACTTGCACATTACGTGAGAAGGCTAATAATTAATTATTAATATTCACGTTAATAATATTCGTTCAGTAGTTCAGCAAAAATATGAAAATGTATGTGTGCCACAACCACATTTTAAATACGAACACCTGGCTACGATTAATGAGTTGAGGCTGTCATTGTTGTAACAGTAGAGGGCACCACCATAATGACCTCTAACCCACACTCCTGTGCACACATACAGTCATGGCCAAACGTTTTGGCAGTGACATACATTTTGTGTTTTGCTAAGTTTGCTGCTTAAGCTGTTGTGGTGTTCATTCACATTGTTTCTAGATTATTGTGTAGAATGATCACATGCATTTAAAATGATTGCTAAAAGCTTCATTGGCCAAAAAAAATGGAAAAAAACCCCGCATCAAAATGGCCTCGCATGCAAGGAAATTGCTACAAAGAATATTGCACCTGAAATAACCATTTACCGGATCATGAAGAACTTCAAGGAGAGAGGTTCGACTGCAGTGAAGAAGTCTTCAGGACGTCCCAGAGTGTCCAGCAAGCACCAGGACCGTCTCCTCCTGAGGAGTCAGCTATGGAATCGTGTCGCCAGCAGTGCAGAGCTTGCTCAGGAATGGCAGCAGGTTGGTGTGAGAGCATCTGCACGCACAGTGAGGCAAATACTTTTGGACAACGGCCTGGTGTCAAGAAGGGCAACAAAGAAGCCACTTCTCTCCAAGAAAAACATTAAAGACAGACTGAAATTCTGCAGGAAGTACAAGAATTGGACAGCAGAAGACTGGTGCAAAGTTATTTTCTCTGATGAATCTCCCTTCCGACTGTTTGGGACATCTAGAAAATCGATTGTTCGGAGAAGAAAAGGTGAACGCTACCATGAGTCCTGTGTTGTGCCAACGGTGAAGCATCCTGAGACTGTCCATGTGTGGGGTTGCTTTTCAACCAAGGGAGTGGGCTTTCTCATAATTCTGCCCAAAAACACTGCCACGAATAAAGAATGGTATCAAAACGTCCTGCAAGAGCGACTTCTTCCAAAGATCCATGAGCAATTTGGTGATGATCCGTGCATTTTCCAGCATGATGGAGCACCATGTCACAAAGCAAGAGTGATAAAGAAGGGGCTCGAAGATCATTACATTGACATTTTGGATCCGTGGCCTGCCAACTCCCCCGGATCTCAATCCCATAGAGAACCTGTGGTCAGTTCTCAAAAGGCGAGTGGACAAGCAGAAGCCCACAAATTGTGATCAACTCCGAGAACTAATAAGGCAAGAATGGATCGCCATCAGTCAGGATTTGGCCCAGAAGCTAATATCCAGCATGCCAGAGTGAATTACAGAGGTTATGAAGAACAAGAGTCAACACTGTAAATATTGACTCATTATATTTTTTTGCCAATAAAAGCCTTTAAAACTTGCTTATAATTGTTTTTCAGTATACCATAGAAACATGTGGGAAAAATCTACAAATACTGAAGCAGCAAAACACAAAATTTATGTCACTGCCCAAACAATTGGCCATAGAGCTGTCACTGAGTCATGGAAGACAGAGATGTCAGTGAGTCATTTCCTGCCCTGGAAAATAAGCATAATATGAATGAAACCTCTTGAGCTCAGACGCTTAGGTAAGCAGGGGAATTCTGCACGACCGTCAGAGACTTCAGGTGAACGCTCGTCTTCAGCTGCTTACATGGCTTCTGACTGTATCAAAATGGGAAACCCCTTGAGATCATCAGGATCATTGTCAAGGACCCAAAATATACCCAAACGTGACATGAGACAAAAGTATCACATGTTATTAAAAATAACACATTTATTTTGAATAACATTTAAATCACAATTGTAGTTTTTGTCACATCAACTATTTAAGTGACCTGCAAAAAAGTGATTAAAAGTAGTGAAAACTCCATTAATGACAAAGTTAGATATACATTTTCCATGCAGTAGCCTATATTCACATTTTTTGTGTTGTTTGTCATGTTATTTATCGATTACCCAGGGTAAACTGGGTAAATCTGTGTTTAATTGGCTTTTAATACAGATTTATCTCAGCTGACCTGTGACTGATCAATGATGAATCATTTAGGCTGAATGAACTCTGACCATAACCTAATATTGCCAGTCAATGTCAGATGTTAAACCTATTTAACATAATGAACTATTGTCTGTATCAAAGATTGTATTTTTAAATGTGATGAATGAAAGGGTGAATGTAAGAGAAACTGCTGTGTTTGCATTCTGGTCATCATGTGCTTTTCACTGCAACCAAAAATGTATAACACACCCTCCTCACAGCTTCAGTGAGTCATTGTTTTATATTGTTTTCTTTAAAGTGTGAATAATATGGGCTGTAGTGGCGCTTGATGTTACTATTACTCATATTTAAAGTTAACTATTAGAACACATGCTAAAAACCACTCCGAACATCATAGCAATGCTTAAAATGTAACAAAATAAATAAACAATAATAATCAATTACATAAAAGAATAACTTGCATTATGAATTCTAATTGGTGATGGTGGGGTATTTGAACATGATAAAAACTATACTCAGAATGCCTGAGCAATCTCATAACATTGCTTAAAATGTAACAAAAAATAAAAATAACCCATATTGTGAATTCTAATAAATAGAGTAAAAACCAGAATTAGAACCAGTCAATCTCTAAATTGAGACGGAAATATGCACACACTACACAATACATCTTTACATGCCCTTATCTGTGTTTATTTAACAAGAATGATCACTATTGGGAAAAATGCATGTTGTAAATACAAAAATTCCCTGACTACACCCTGAACCAACAGCTTTATGTGTTACTAACACTAGTGATAGGACTGATAATAGCAGATGTAGAGGTGGAGCCAGATTCTGTGGCCAAAGGATGTGGTGACAACCTAATTTAAATGAGCTGTTTTCAATATTTTTGCTGAGATTAGACAATCAGTGACGGGCAAAAAGCATATGTTTAATCAATTCAGTAATAACTGCGTAATCTAGAACACTTCTGATAAACAGCTCTGATAAACCATGACTGTGCTGATGTTTGGGGGTGGGGGGGACCTCAGAATTCAGGTCCACTAATTGAAAAAGTCAAATGCCTGTAAGGTTTTTACGATGACAGTCACATTCCCGCAGACAGTGTGTTGAGAGATTCCTCATTGTGTGCTTCGTGCTTCTAACAACTACATAAATTAAAAAAAAAAAAAACTCCCACTGTACCCCACAACACCACAGGGCCGAAACTTTAGACGCAAGTTTTGGCTTAGACGTTTGGATAATTCATGTACTGTAAAAATATAATAAATAAAAACCACAGTGTGCTGCTTGTTTTGACTTTTTTGAGCACGCATTTAAATCAGGTGGTCTGTTTCATGTGGATGTGAGGATAAACCCTTCTGTGAGAGAGTTGAGTTCACAGCAGACATGGGGAATCTCTGGCTGGGCCTGTTCACACTGCTGCAGCCTGCTGTTCTGTGCTCCTCCTGCTGCTGCCGCCTGCCTGCTGACCTGGAGTTTGCAGAGGTAATTATAAACCATCAATAGATCTTCAAGATATTCAAATATTCAAAAAAAAACTCACCACCACAATGCTAGGGTCTTGTGAGCGGTTGCCAGCATTGCTATGCGGATACTAGGGTGTTATGGGTGGTTGCAAGTCTCTCCTTCAAGTTAGCTTTGGATGAAAGCATCTAAATGACTTGTCACTTTTGTATTATTATTATTATATATATATATTTTTTGCATACATGAAATCAAATGTTGATATACTGTATATGTAATATGGGTTGCTT